CAGATGCTTAACCAACTGAGCCACCCATGTGCCCCAAGCATGCAACTCCTGATCTCAGGGTCGTGAGTTCAAGCCCCACCTTGGACGTAGAGCTTAATTAAAAAAAAAAAAAAATCATTCTTCACCAATCCAACTTCTCATCTCTTCTAAAAAAACGAGTTAGTAGCATATATCTCCAGTAACACCTGTTTCATTAGTTCACTAGGATAAACATGAGGTAATTAAAAGAAGTATTTGAAACCTGTAAGCTAAAACCAGTCTTATAATACTGGGTTTTTATTCCTTGTTTGAATTTTGCCTTAAAACTCTAGATAAGTGCTGATACCTAAAAAGACTAGATATCTAGAGAAAACTTAGTATATTGACGAGTATAAGCCAGGAAGCCAAAACTCATTCTTCTGAACTCTGAAATCGTATTTTTTGATGGCATAATGAGTTAATATCATAGATAATTCAGGATTCCTAAGGAATGAGTGAACTAAAAATGACTGTACTAAGTGGAATAATTAGTTGAATCCAGGAAGCTGAAAACCATATTCTTCTCACCTCCACCTTCTTATTTCTCGTTGAAACAAACAGGTAATACTACAGTTAACTGAGTTTCCCTAGGGCACTAGATACCTAGAAATAAGCAGAGATAAGGAAGAAAAACTTGTAGACATCCAGAACCTAGAAAACACCTTTTTTTTTTCAAATCTAAATTCAAATTGCTGGGGTGCCTGGCTGCCTCAGTTGGAGGAATAAGCGACTCTTGATCTCGGGGTCATGAGTTCAAGCCCCATGTTGGGTATAGAGATTACTTAAAGAAACAAACTTAAAACAAAATTCTAGGGGTGCCTGGGTGGCTCAGTCGTTAAGATATGGAATAAATCGTGGAAATCTCCAATGTGAGAGACCACATCACCCAAGTTGTAATGGATGTTCTAGCCAGGCTAACGCACACCATGATCCTAACCACTGTAGCTCTCTCATGTTATAATTGATCCCAAGCCAAAACTGATCACAGGCTATCTAGCCAGGAGAGGGCGAGGCCTGCAGAATCTAGCAAGAGCCAGCGTGAGGAGGCTGGATTAGTTAGGGAGAGGCTGTGGGAATGAAATCGCTTGATACCATTTCACACCTAGCAGGATGGCTATTATCAACAAAACAGAAAACAAGAAGTGTTGGTAAGGATGTGGAGAAATTGGAAGCCTGTGTGTTACTGGTAGGGATGTAAATGGTGTAGTCACTGTAGAAAATGGTATGGCAGTTCCTCAAAACTTTAGTCAGAATAACCGTATGATCCAGCAATTCCACTTCTGGGTATACAGCCCAAAAACCTGAGAGCAGGGACTTAAACAGATACTTGTACACCCATGTTCAGAGCAGCATTATTCACAATAGCCAAAAGATGGAAACAACCCAAATGCCCACTGATGGAGGAATGGGTAAATAAAATGT